AGGTTCTCCAGGACACTCTGCAGGACCCCGAGTTCCTGCAGAGTGTCCTGGAGAACCTGCCCGGGGTGGATCCCAACAACGAGGCCATCCGGAATGCCATGGGATCCCTGGCCTCCCAGGCTTCCAAGGAAAACAAGGACAAGAAGGAGGAGGACAAGAAATGATCCCCCCCCGCGGGGGGTGACACGTGAGATCTGCTGGATCTGCTGGAATGGGACAATAAAGGCTTTTCCCAGGGAATTCTTGGCCTGGTGTGTCCTGGGATGAGCCCTGGGAATGGGGGGGGAATCAGGAATCTCCTGGGGGAAAGTGGGATTGGAATTCCCTGTGCTGGGAGGGGTGAGTGGACCCCGGGAATTCCCTGGACTGGGAGAACTGGACTCCCCTGTGCTGAGGGAATTGGGCCCCAGGACCCCCCGTACTGGTGTTACTGGTGTTACAAGCCCCGCCCCCTGCGCCAACTCCCGTCGTGCCCCGCGCGGTGTTTACAACGAGGTCGGGGAGGGCGGGGCCTGGCTGTCGATGGACAGCGGTATCAGCCAATCAGCGAGGGGGAGGAGCGGATGTTGTGATTCGCGCTGGCCAATGGGTTACGAGGAGGGCGGGGCTTTGTGTTGAGTGACAGCTCACTGGCCCAATGGGCGGTCGTTGACCCTGTCAGCCAATGGGGAGCGAAGAGCGAGAGACAAGCTTGAGTGACAGCGCTCTTCACCAATGGCCTCCCGAGCCAGGCGGGGGTGGGCGGGACAGCCCCACTAACCCTTCTGAATGACAACTCCGGCAGCCAATGGGAGGAGGGGGTTTGAACCCCGTCCGGGACAGGCGGGGGACGCATCCTGGCTCTGAGCGACAGGTATGGCGCCCAATAGGAAAATACCAACTGGGAGCCGCCCCGACGGACCTTCCCCGCGTCAATGGCGGCCACGGCCCGCACGTGACGGACAGCCCACCCTGACCAATGTGAAGCGCGAAGAGGCGGGTTAAGTTGATGGACAGCCCTCCAGCCAATCAGCAGAGAGGTAAACGCGCTCCAGGACCAATCGGAAGCGCAAAAGCGCCGTGGGCGTGACCCGCGCGCTGACTGACACAGCCCTCCTCCTATGAACGAGGGGCAGCGCTCCGCCAATGGCGAGTGCGGACGGCAGCGACCCTCCTTGAGCGACAGCGCTGAAAACCAATAGAAGGGCGAGTTTCGGTGAGTGGCGGGCGGTTGGACCAATGGCGCGGCGGGGCGGGCGCGCGGGGCGGGCGGGGCCGAGCAGGAAGTGGCGGAGGGGAAGCGGCGCCGCCGAGGGGCCGGAGCGGGACCGGGACCGGGAACGGGATTGAACCGGGAACAGGGATCGGGAACGGGATCCGGAACAGGGAGCGGGAAAGGGAACGGGCAGCGGGAGCCGCGCCCCTCTTCCCCACCCGCAGCTCCAGGTACGGCCGCCGCCACAGCGCGGGGGGATCGGGGGGGTGAGGCCTGAGGGGGATCCGGCCTGAGGGGGGGCGGGGGGGGCAGGTCTGAGGGGGAGCGAGTTCTGAGGGGGGTCCCGGGGCTGAAATGGGGCCCCAGCTCTGAGGGGGCCCCTCATGGACCTCTCTGCTCGAGGACCCCTCCCCCGACCCCCCCTCACTCCTGGGGGTCCCCCTCGCCCCCCGCCCCAGGTCAGGGGGGGTCCCCGAGGGGGGTTTGGGGGGAGAGGCCGCTCCTGCCGCTCCTTCTCCCCGTCGGGACGGGGGTGGGGACCCCCCTCCCGGGCCTGGGGGGGTCACGGTCACTGGGGAGGGGTCGTGGACACCCCCATCCTGAGATCTGGGGGGGGGTCGTGGTCGCTCCCCCATCCTGGGATTTTGGGGAGGGCTCAGGGACACCCCCATTCTGGGATTTTGGGGGGTCACAGTCACCCCCCCCTCAGGTTTTGGGGAGGGGGTGTCACTGTCACACCCCCAACCTGAGATTTGGGGGGGGTCACGGACACCCCCATTCCCGGGATTTTTGGGATCGTGGACACCCCCATTCCCGGGATTTTGGGGAGGGGTCATGGACACCCCCATCCTGAGATTTAGGGGGATCCCCCGTCTTGGGATTTGGGGGTTTGGGGTGGGAATTGCACACCTCCCCCCCTTATCCTTCACCTCATTTCTGGTGCCTCGTTTCGGAGCCCCAAAATTCCCAGGGGAATTTTCCTGCTCCTCCAGGTTTTTTTGAGGAGTGGCTGCGGGAATCCCTGGGAATCCGTGGGAATCCACTCGGGATTTGGGGCTGGATCCTCCCAGGAGGGGTGTTTTGTGTGTGTGTGGGGGGTCTGATCACACTTCAGTGTCCCGGGAATTGAGGTTTGGGATGAGGGAATCCCGGGATTCCATGGATTTGGTGGGACAAGAGAAGGTGGGATGTGTGGAAAGGCTCCGAAAAGTGCAGCATCTCCCGGGGTTTTTCCAGTCCTGGAATGACTTTGTGCCTCTCCAGGGATGGTTGGGAAGGTCCCTGGAAACTGGGAATTGGGGGGGGGAACTGGGAATAGGGAAAAAAATGGGAATAAGGAGGAAACTGGGAATGGGGAAGAAACTGGGAATAGAAGAGGAAACTGGGAATAGGGGGGGAAATCTGGAATAGGGGGGGAAATCTGGAATAGGGGGGATATCCTGGCTGAGGTTGGAAAACGGATGTTGGAAAGCCCCTTGGATAACTGGGAGCTGCTGGGAATGATCCCAGGGCTCGGGAGCATCCTTGGAATGTTTGGAGAGATCCCGAAATTCCCTGGAATATCAGAACCACCCTCCCCAGCCCTTCTCCTCCACCGGCATCCTGGTTATCCCGGGAAAAAGTGGCCGGTCTGGGCTCCAAACCTGCCCTGCCGGGGTTGGAAAACTGAGTATTCCAGGCTGGGAACTGTGGAGATTCCTGGGATTCTGGGCCCCCCCCTTGTTTGTGTCGGGGCCTCCAGGGGTCGGCAGATGGTCGGGAGTTAATTCCCGGCATCCGGAGGGAATTTAATCCCGGGCAGGGCCGGGGAGGGACGAGGCCGGGATGGGGGAGTGGGAGCGGGGTCGGATCCTGGGATCGGGATGGGGGAGTGGGAGCAGGATGGGGGAGTGGGATTGGGGTGGGGAGTTTGGGATGGGGAGTTTGGGATTTAGGATTGGGATGGGGAGTTTGGGATGGGGATGTTGGGATCGGGATGGGAGCTTGGAATTGGGATGGGGAGTTTGGGATTGGGATGGGAAGTTTGGGATTGGGATGGGATCTTGGGATTGGGATTTTGGGATTGGGATTTTGGGATTGGGATAGGAGCTTGGGGCTGGGATGGGGAGTTTGGGATTGGGATGGGATCTTGGGATCGGGATGGGGGTTTGAGATCGGGATGGAGAGTTTGGGATTGGGATCTTGGGATCGGGATGAGATTTTGGGATTGGGAGTTTGAGATTGGGATCTCGGGATTGGGATGGGGAGTCTGGGATTGGGATGGGAGCTTGGGATGGGGAGTTTGAGATTGGGATTTGGTATCGAGATGGGATCTTGGGATTGGGATGGGCAGTTTGAGAGTAGGATTTGGGATCAGGATGGGAGCCTGGGATTGGGTTTGGGAGTTTGAGGTTGGGATATTGGGATGGGAACTTGGGATTGGGATGGGAGCCTGGGGCAGGAGTTTGGGATTGGGATGGGGCTCCCTGTGGATCCAATGTGGGATCCATCCCTGGGGATGGGATCCAGAGGGATCTGCTGGTGCCTCCGTGGCACTTGGGAATGGGGAGAGGGAATGGCTGGACTGGGATGGGCCTGGAATGGTGCCCACGGAGCGCTCGGATCCCACGGATTGCCTGGATCCCACGGGAAGAGGGAGGGAGGGATCCTGGTGCTCCCATTCCCACCCAGGAGCTTCATTTATCCCGGGAGAAAGGAATTCCCAGTTCCCCCCGTTCACTTGGAAAATATCCAGCTGCTTTTGGCTCCTTCCCGAGCCTCTGGGGAGCTGCTTCCAGGGAATTTGGAGAGATCCCTTTTGGAAGGAAATGAGGGGAAAAAAACCCCCCTGAATCAATCCAACTTATTCCCAAGTGGCTTTTTCCTGCTCCACGGCGGGATTTTTGGGATTTTTGGGATCCTTGTGGATCCTTCCAGCTCGGGGCATCCAGTGATTCCAAACTCCTGGAGGGGAAGGAAGGGGAAGTGCTGCAGAAATCCCCCAAAATCCGGGGTTTTCCAGGCTTTTCCCTCCTCCTCCTCCTCCCCAGCAGCTGCTGGGAATGGGGGGGGGTTGGGAAGGATTTGGGAGAAAAGCTGTGCCAGGTGCTCCAAGTCTGGAATTTTTCCTCCCCCCTGTTCTCCCTCAATCCCTGAGGATTGTCTGGGAAGGGGGGTTGGATAACCTTGGGAAGGAGGGGTTGGATAACCTTGGGAAGGGGGGTTGGATAACCTTGGGAAGGAGGGCTTGGATAACCCAGTTGTTGTCCTGGGTGACAGAGGGCTTGGAGCAGGGATCACTTCCAGAGGCTTTGGAGCAGGGATCACTTCCAGAGGCTTTGGAGCAGGGATCACTTCCAGGGGTCAATCCCAGAGTGTTTGGAGCAGGAATCACTTCCAGGATCACTCCCAGAATGTTTGGAGTAGGGATCACTCCCAGAGGCTTTGGAGCAGGGATCAATTCCAGAGGCCTTGGAATAGGGGTCACTTCCAGAGGCTTTGGAACAGGGATCACTCCCAGAGTGTTTGGAGCAGGAATCACTTCCAGGATCACTCCCAGAGGCTTTAGAGCAGGGATCACTTCCAGAGGCCTTGGAATAGGGGTCAGTTCCAGAGGCTTTGGAGCAGGGATCACTTCCAGGGGTCACTCCCGGAGTGTTTGGAGCAGGGATCACTCCCAGAGGCCTTGGAGCAGGGATCACTTCCAGGGATCACTCCCAGAGTGTTTGGAGCAGGGATCACTTCCCAGAGGCCTTGGAGCAGGGATCACTCCCAGGGATCACTCCCAGAGGCCTTGGAGCAGGGATCACTTCCAGGGATCACTCCCAGAGTGTTTGGAGCAGGGATCACTTCCCAGAGGCCTTGGAGCAGGGATCACTCCCAGGGATCACTCCCAGAGGCCTTGGAGCAGGGATCACTTCCCAGACAGCTCCAGAGGGGCTGGAATTCCGCTCAGCCCCCGAGCCCAGCCGAGCCCGGCCCGGCCATTCCCGGTTTTCCGGAGCCCGGCGGTTCCGTGTGTGCGTTCCCGGCATTCCCAAGGCTCCGTGGGCCCAGGGACACAGGGCCAGGCTTTGTCCAAGGTTTCCTTGGGAAGCTGATCCGGCGTCACGTGGTGCCGGGAGCGCCGAGGCCGCTCGGACACGGGAAGGGGCTCCGGGCAGGGGGGGTTTAAACCCGGCTTATCCCCCCTGGAACCGGGAAAAGAACCGGGAAAGGAGCCGGGCCTGGAGCTGCCAAAGCCCCGCCGGGGTCAGGGAAGGGAACAGGAAAAGCAGCTTTTAAAAATAGCCAGGCCTTGGAAAAGTCCCGGCCTCGGGAATTCGCTCCGGGGGCTCTTCCAGGGGATCAACCCCGGGCCGGGCTCAGCCTCTCCCGCTTTTCCCGCTGATCCCGGGATAAAACCCCCGGAGCTGAGGGGGGAAGCACTTTGGGGGCCGTCTGGGTGAGTGTGGCCATTCCCTGCTCCCGCCAAATCCCGGGAAGAGCAGCCCCTGTGGGAGCTCCCCTGTGGGAGCAGCTCCCATGGGAAAAACACGGTTCCCCCCACCGAGGGTTTTCCGGGTTTTTTTCCAGGGATGTGGTGTGGGATGGGCACGGGGAGGTGGGGGGAGAGGGGTTGTCCCTGATCCCTGTGGGAGGGAGGAGCAGCTGGAGCTGCTGGAATGTTTGGGGGGGGGGTTGGAGCAAAAGGAGGAGTCTGGGAGAGGGAAGGGAAGGGAAGGTTTGGGAAGGGAAGGAAAAGGAAAGGAAAAAGGGAAGGTTTGGGAAGGGAAGGAAAAAGGGAAGGGAAGGTTTGGGAAGGGAAGAGAAGAAAAGGAAAGGAAAGGAAAGGAAAAAGGGAAGGAAAGGAAAAAGGGAAGGGAAGGGAAGGAAAAAGGGAAGGGAAGGGAAGGAAAAAGGGAAGGGAAGGAGGAAGGAAAAAGGGAAGGGAAAGGAAAGGAAAAAGGGAAGGAAAGGAAAAAGGGAAGGAAAGCAGCCTTTCCTGGGAAAAGGGAAAGAGCCCCGTGCTGTGTTTGGGGTCTCTGTCCCAAACCCAGGGATTGAGCAGGTGGATAAATCCAGTTTTTAGCAGCATTGGAGCTTTTCCTGGCGGATAAATGAGGAAAAGAGCCCGGAAAGGAGCAGTTTGGGTTCAGGGTTTGGTGTCACCTCAGTCCTGGGAGGCCTGGAGAGGATCCCTGGGCTGGATCCATGTGGGATCCGTGTCCCGGGAGGCTGAGCTG